GATAGATAGATAGATAGATAGATAGATAGATAGATAGATAGATAGATAGATAGATAGATAGATAGATAATTTGGAAAACATAGGGTAGCCAGAATGGAGCGGGTGCCATGCCGAGATGGGATTTAAGGTTTACTACCAATGGTTTGATATTACACTTGCCATATATTGTGTTTCAATTAGTTAATGCACTTATGTAGCTTGTATACTTCATGTTGTTATTTTATTGTTACCTTTTATGACAGACACTTTGGAAATGCTTCATTTGCTATGCTTTAAAATCAAGTGGGCAATCTCAGAGGGGCCAAAGACCAGTTTTCACTTTGGCTGGCAGCTCAATAGCTGCACTCACAAGAGGTATGTCCAAAGCGGGAAGCGTTGATTGGTTTTAACATTTTTAAGAGTTTAATTTCTTTTATTTTTTTAATTAGATAGAATAAGTTTTAAGAGACAAAGTGTTTATTTTAATAGATAGCTCTACAACATTAATAATACTGTTTCATTCAAATAAATAATACAGAGATGTTCTTCTGGTGTTGGTGTTACACACAGTCCAGTTGCTGCCTATTAATCAGTGACCTCCCGAATGTCCTATCATTAAGAGCCCTGCTTGGGTCTTGTAAGCTCTGGTTATTTTCCCAGCTGTTTTTCTTGCTTTGCAGTGGCAATTTACTGCCTATTTTAATTAAACATCATTTCCTCATTTTCTGTTTGTTTACAGTTGTACTTCTGTAGCTTAACTGCATGAGGAAGTCTTCAATCTGTGTATTTTCTTCCTGACTTCTTTCCATGTTCACTGGAGATTATTTGTTATTATGTTTTATATTTTGAAAGTGAGGGACTCTTTGAGCAGCACAGTTCTGTAGTTCTCTGATGCCTAAAGAGTCCTTAACCATGAAGGCCTGGAAGAAAAAAAACCCATAAAAATAATGTCCAATGAATAGGAAGAGAGTTCCTATTCCCTGAAGAGTATATTCCAGTTGAAGACTTTCTCATATAATTCCTACTGGCAGATACAACTAAGGGCTGGCTGACCTGATACTAAACCAGATAAGGCTGTGCTGAAGCCAATCCGACCTGTAATCCTTGGATACTGGACATTATTAGATTTACCCTGGCACTGGCCTTTGTGACAGCATAGTGGCTATCAAGTTTGGAATGAGAAGCATAATTCAGCTTTTGCCCTGCTTCTCCCCTTCTGCCTGATCTCAGCCAGCATAACAATTGTATCAGGAAATCTAGCTCTGTCACCAGATCCGGGATCAGCTGGCAGAAGGAGATTTTCTGAGCTGAAGAAACTGCTGCACATTCCAAACCCACTACAGCTGGTGTAGATTTCAGTTTGGATCACACTGCCTCAAGATTAAGGCCCAGAAAAGCAATTTTACTCAGAAATAAAAATGGTAAATGTTTACTCATTAAATATTTGAAATAAGTTAAAAATAAATATGATATTCAGGAAAATATTCAGGAAGCTTTCTCTGACTTTTTATTGTTGTTTCTGTTACTTAAACAAATTTTAACTTGAACTAAGATTTGATGTGGTCTTGACACTCTATAAACTTTGGATTAGAATAGTGTGAATATATTTCCCCTTTTGAATACCTCACAGAATTGTGATTAAGTGAAATGGAGCAGTCAGGTATACCATCTTGATGCCAGTGGGAAATGCAAATGCAATAAATACATAAAAATTGATACAATAATAAAAAGAAATATATTAAATATAGCATTTTAGAATTATTGCAGAGCATGCATTTCCTTCTCCCTCTCTGGCACATTCATTTTGCTGGTTTATTTTACACATGCCCCGATAAATAGGCCTCCTAGAATGAAGCACCTCAGTGTTTCAGCTTTGCAGGATATATTTGCACCTCCTCATAGTCTGTGGAAACTTCTATGATGAGCACTTGTCTGGCCTGGACAGCCTCTTTGTGAATAGAACCACCTACGAGGAATCCAAGCAACGTCTTTTTCTTTGTATAGTTTCCATCTTTAAATCCTCATGTACAAGTGTAGCTTCTTAGTGGTAGAATATTTACTTGCAGTGAAGCAGAGCACACTTTCAGTGCAGCCCAGAACCAAACATATGCCACCTGTGGTGGGTTTGGAATGGGTAGAAGCAGTACAAATAAATATTCTGCTGGCTGTGATCAAAGACAGTAGAAGGGTCAGAAAGAGGGTGGACAAGGGGAAAAAGCCAGGGGGGGGGTGTTGTGTCGCATCCAAACACCTCTCAAGCCATGCTCACGGCCCCTTTGTTAACATAAAGCTAGGCCTTATGTCTGAGTGCTATCTTGGCATGTTGTTGAAAGACAGGATCGCCGGAAGCCCCAAATGGTCTGCTTTAAAAGTGCCAAACGTGCTCTGTTTGCTTGCACTGTGCTGGTAAGCTTGTTTCAATAATTTTGACTGATTTAAAAAAAACCACCCAAACTTCTATTTTGCCCTGTATCTGAAGATAGTCCAGATTATAATAATCAGAAATCAAATTGAAACAATGTAAAATCAATGCTTCAAAATATAATCAGAAAACAAATGAACAAAAATGAGAAACAAGAAAACACAGACCCAAATTCCAGCAACCAAAACCAGGCCATGATCATGGGAGTTCCAGGGCTGGATTTAACTTCAGAATGTTGGTGCCAATCAGGGTTCCAAAGGTAGGACAGTTTCCAACTGGGGCACCGCCAGAAATAAAGAATGCGATATTTTAGATAGCTATTTTGTTGTTGTTTAGTCATTAAGTCGTGTCCGACTCTTCATGACCCCATGGACCAGAGCACGCCAGGCCCTCCTGTCTTCCACTGCCTCCCGGACTTTGGCCAAATTCATGTTGGTTGCTTCGATGACCCTGTCCAGCCATCTCGTCCTCGGTCGTCCCCTTCTCCTCTTGCCCTCATACTTTCCCAACATCAGAGTCTTTTCCAGGGAGTCTTCTCTTCTCATGAGATGGCCAAAGTACTGGAGCCTCAGCTTCAGGATCTGTCCTTCCAGTGAGCACTCAGGGTTGATTTCCTTTAAAACTGATAGGTTTGATCTCCTTGCAGTCCAGGGGACTCTCAAGAGCCTCCTTCAGCACCACAACTGAATAGCTATTACCAACACATATTTCAAATAGGACTTTGTATCCTGACATTGTAACACACAGCTTTGTATATGCAACAGTATGGATTGGCAGGGTGAGCAGTTTTCTTTGGCTCAGAGCTACACATGTCCTTCATGATCCTCTAAATCAGAAATAATCAATAATGTGGCAACACACCACACACCAATTTCATCTATTCTTCTCACCCGTGGTGCTTCAGGTATGCTATTGGTTCTTACCTGGAAGCACCTGCTAAGAAAAAACAACACATTCAAGACAAAAACTTTTGTATGAAGGGATCGCATTCACTAATAGTCAATAGTCTTCATACCAGAAAATTGGATGTGCCATCTGTGAAACCTCTGCTTCCTGCGGAATAGTGCCTGCTAGTTTGAAAGCCGTGTAAATTGTTGTTGTGCTATATTTCTGAATGGGAATAGTAACAGCAAGTGGTGTGAATCTCTCCTGAGTTTTGACATTTTTTCATACCCTGTAAACATCTCAAGCCTTCTGAGCTGAGATTACAGACTCCTCTTGAGTCAACACTCCTATAGGAGAGGATAGCCAGTAAGTGAGAATCTGGCCTTTCAGGCTTAAGACATTAGCTCTCTTCTCATCAGCCCTAGCTCTGCCCTGGTTGAATGAGCATCAGGTTCTTGCTGAGGGACCAGATTGTCAGAGATTTCCCTCAGAACTATTCCTACCATTTGTCTGCTTTTTCAGTAACAATGAAAAAAGTGGAATCTGATAACTGCGGAAGCAAATGGAATTTTACTTTTGTGTGGATACCTATTTTTGGAACTCAAGCAACAGAGTAATATATTTGTACATACAGTGGTGCCTCGCTTAATGAGCGCACCGTATAACGACGAAATCGCATAGCGATCCGTTTTTTCGGATTGCTAATGCGATCGCTCAACGTTTTTCCAATAGGGGAAATGTCGCTTTGCGAATACCGGTAACCGTTTCGCTTACCGATCTTCGCAAAACGAACCCCAACGATCAGCTGTTCGGCAGCCAAAATGGCCGCCGGAAGCCTGGAAATGGCCCAAAATGGCCGCGCGCAGCGTTTTCGCGCCCTTGTTAAGCGAGGCGAGGGCGCGAAAATGGCTGCCGGCCATCCTGAAGCATCGCTGAACAGTGAGTATTTGGCCCAATTGGAACGCATTAAACCATGTTTAAAGCGTTCCAATGGAAATCCCTGCCCTGTTCAACGATGCTTCAGCATAGCGAAGGTTAATCCGGAACGGATTAACCTCGCTATGCGAGGCACCACTGTATTTTTGTATGCTAATACTACCTGGTTTATTATGTTTCTGTGAGCTTTTAATAACTGAGGAAGAGAGGTATCCAGGAACAATTCAACATTATCTTTTCTTGAATGAATTTGCAACTTACTTGTTTGAAGGCACACTCAGTGGGCAGGCACACAGCTGGCAGTCATCAGGCTTCCCTTTAGTAGCATCTCCATAGAAACCAGGAAGACATTTATCACAATATGGGCCACCTGTGTTGTGCTTGCAGTCCTACATAGAGAAGGGAAGACACAAAAATCACCTTTTCAGAATATCGTAGGGCCATAGTTGATTAAAAATCCACTAGGGGATATAGTGCCCCCAAGTTTGTCTGTCTGTTAAATTTGTTACAGTCGTAAACCCATTGCCTCTCAAAATTCTCCACACTGTTTGTGGAAAGGAAAACTAAAAGGATAATCTCAAACTATTTTTCCAAGAAAAAGAGAAATCGTCTCATGATTTCTCAAAGGTGAGGCTTACCCACTGTGGTAGCATAGCTTTGTTCTTGTCACTGCAAATAATTGTCTTCTTTTGCACTGCAAATTTATTTATTTGATTTCTACTTTGCCTCCTTCCCACAGCTGGCAACTGTGCTGGCTACCTAAACAGCATTTTAACCCCTCCAAAATGCATTCTAGGACACTATGGTGGTGGTGGAGGAGAGGAAGCCCTCCCTTGAAATTGTTAGAAGTAATTCTGCAAAACAACAACAGTAACAACAAATTTAAATAGAAAGTGAAACAATCTGCTCCTCATAAGCGAAAGACTGGCACAAAGTGATTCACAAGGTATTATGAATGCTTCTATGTTACTCCCTTCCATACTAGTTTTGTAATGTTACTGTGCAGGAATCATGGAAGACTCAAATGAATGGTTCTTTCCCGCTACACTGTAACCTACCCTAAACTCCCTCTTTTCCTTCTATAACAATTGTGGATTTTGATCAGAATGTTTTTATATATAAGTGAATATGTGCATGCTTACCATTGATCTCACAGGCCAAGTAACTTTCATGGCCAGTTCAGAAGCTATAGGAGCCAGTCATCAAAAGATGTATCAGGGATTACAGACAGAAAATTGAGCTTACATTCTTTCCCCAATCTCATTTCCTATACATGCACATCCCTCCTAAGTTCCCACATGTAATAACTGTACTTTACCACAATGTCTGAAGAGATGTAGCCATACCAGAACCTGATTGCAAAGCAAATCCTGAAACTAAGATAATATCTTGTGTTCAATCTCTCAGTAAATGACCATCTTAAACTGAAGTGCTAATCCCAACTAGCATAGATTTACTGAAAACAGGATTTACTTAAGTGTTGGTTTACATTCAGCAGTTAGTCTGATGAGTCTGTTCCGGCTGGGACTAGCAATTGGATTTTGATCATTACATTTAGTAGAAACTAAAGATGCCATAGCAATCTGCAGTCTCCACTCTCTCATGAAGATATCACACTGGTATTGTAGACTGAATGTACATATTTTTTGTGCACTGTAGGTGATAAAGGGAAAATCCAAAGGGTGACTGTTCATCAAAAGTGCAGATCTAAGTGGGGATCTCTATCAGCCGTTCACCTGACTCAATGGAGTGTGCATTCAGAGGTTCATCCTCAAGTGGTCAACAAATCATCCATGTGACTACTTTAATGTGTCACTGGTTGTCCCCGCCCCCAGTGGTGGGATTCAAATACATTAACAACAGGTTCTATGTCCTAATGACAAATAAATAAATAAATGAATGAATGAATGAATGAATGAATGAATGAATGAATGAATGAATGAATGAATGAATGAATAAATAAATAAATAAATAAATGCCCAGGACAGTGGATCCGATGAGGGTTTCTTCCACAGTGGTCTCCCAGCGGTATGCGCAAACAGTGTATCTGTTTGGGCATACCGCTGCTGTTACCCTCACTATGGGCATGTGCCAAACACACACACACACAAACACTCCTAAGAAAACTAAGGTTATTTGTGACACTCTGCACTCTTCAGAGATAACCACAAGTGAGAGCAGGCAGAGGAGAAATCTCTGTGGAAATAAAGGAGCAGGTTTTATAGTCCCATAATTGTAACTATGGTTATGTTTATTCAGATGGCATTGCAATAATAAACCAATGCTGTCACTTTCTTTCCTAGAAAATGGAAAGGAGTTTGTAAGCCGGTGAATAAAGAAAGGAGTGGGGAATGAGGCACCCTGTTGGCATTTCTGCTGAACTATAGAGCTCTACATTTCAACTGGATCTTAGTAAACAAAACCCAGCAACAGCAGTTCATGTGTGTGCTTGCAGACAGTATTAAGACTATGAGATCCGTTCAGAAGATCTATGTTTCATGAATCCCTCAATGCTAAACCAGTTATCACATATATCACAATGGTAATGTGAATGTAATATTCAGCACCCACTACAGTATAGGTGTGCTGGAGAATCAAAGGGCTTTGCAGGTTATTCCAAGATGTGTGTTAGTGATTTTTTTTAAAAAAAAAATCAGACCTGTACTTCAGCCGTTGATCTAAGCTCTTATTATGAGTCAAAGAAACATATTTCAGTTTCTTTTCAAGTATATTTCAAAGCTGATGAAGAGTCAAAAGAAGTAACATATCAGTAAATTAGCTGCCTAAATTGTCTGTTGTATTACTGAAAAAACACCATGAATAGTAATGAGAAGGCCAAAAGGCTCAGTACATCTCAATAGGAAAAAAAATCCCTTTGATGTGAAGCATGCCTCTTTTTTTTCAGCACTCAAACTTCTATCTTTCTTTCTCTTTTTCACTTCAAAAGGCTTATGATCCAAATTGAATTGCAGCATTTAGCAGCCTGCATGGGTACCAACCAATCCTACTTCACTTACAGCCAGCACAAAATCCCTAAATAGATCTTTGAAACTTAGTTTCTATGTACTTCCTCGTTACAGAAGGATATTGCTGATGGTTGATGCTACAGTGGAGGAGAGGATATACGCAGACAGATTAGGTAGATACTAATGTTATTGTCTTCAAAGTTGTCTTTCCACCTACTCACTAGCATAGTATACGTGCCAAAGAGCATTGCTACAGATAACAAATACTAGATTTCTATAAATCAGAACCACCAGCTCATTGGCCACAAGCAATTTTTGCCAAGACTGAATTTTTCCACAGGTGTCTGCCTATTCTTTCCAGAGTCTTCTCATCTATCACTTGGCAGCAGAGAATAGAGATGTGCCTCAAAGACAAATTTTGATTGGATCCCACTTTGGAAAGCAGCCTTACTGCAGATTGCTTCTGGCATGATCCAGGGCTCCTCACATCCAAAGCTGAATGTCACTTCGGAAATTTATTGCTTTCTATGTTTCCCTATTAACATGAATGGTGAAATGAAGAGGTTACTATAAATTTCTAAATGTTTTCACAGAAATGGATGACAATTCAAACACAGTAGTCCCTTCTGATTGGATGAAATCTCCCAAATTTCAGAGAATTATGGAGGGAACAATAGGCATTATATAAAGCCTGTAATTAGACTTAAGGTTTGTTTATTATTAAACAATAATGATTTGAAGAGGAGCCTTAGTAAATCCATTTCCTGATTGGAGGCTACAGCCAATACACTGCTACACTGACAAAAACTGCACCCCTTCTCTTCATCCTTTCTCTTGCCATGAGGTCCTTCATGATTCCATGTTGTTCCAAGGTATATTGGAAGAACAATTTGGTGAACAAATGAAGGAGCTTCTTCCTCATGTGACACACTATTCTTAGATTGCACACCAGGTAGTCCATAGACTCAATAAGGACTGGAAAGTTAGAAGCTTTAGGTCCTCTATCTTAAAGACTCAGAACTGAAACCATTCAGTTTGACAACTCAGGCTCCTTGGCTGGTGGAAAACAGAGTATTACCAGGCAGTCTTTACATTGTCCATTGTGAAGATAATGTGTACCTCCACATTTGTCCTGATACATAACCTGTACCCTGGACAAGAAGCTACTATTAGAATGGAATGCAGAGAAACTAAATGGTTTCCCATAAGCAAAGATGTCAAATAAAGATGTGTTCTTTCTCCCTATCCATTCAGTTTGCATGCAGAATATACCATATGGAAAACTGGATTAGATTCAGATGGAGGACTGAAAATTGTTGGAGAAACATAAATAATTTAAGATATGCAGATGTCATTGCTAGGAAGCAGCAACAACTTGAAGTGCCTCATGATCTGCAGTTGAATATTATGAAGATATTTGGTAGTAGCCCACCAGGCTGAATGATGGAACTGGAAAATATCAAAAGATAAGAGGTAGAGAAGAAGGCTTCTTACCTCCACACTGTTTCCATGCCATTTCTTCATGCCTATGAAAAGTGGCATGAAGAATCTTACAAGAGTGCATGGGGAAACCAGTACCTATGAAGGCTGTCTCCATAATAGAATTATAGGGCTATGAGTTCTTCCCAAAAGTCATATCCCTACGAGTCATCATGCTGAAATCTGATAAGAGTAGCTCCCCAAGTAGCTGGCTGGGTAAGTGGGGCTCTTCAGCCTCGGAAGGCAGCCCATCTACGAGAAGGAAAACTCCAATTTCAAACCTCCACTGCCTTGTGGCTATTTCTACTGATGGAATAGGCTTCAAGAGTTAACCTCGAGGCAAAATCCGGAGCCGGAGTCCCGGAGGTAGTTCATATCATTCTAGCAACTCCTGTGACATTGCTGGAACCAGTTGTATTGACTCTTGCCTTTCTACTGGACTGTTTCAGCAACATGGAGAGGGGGGATTTGTTGCCTGGGTAACAGCCTATCCTTCATATTATTTTACCCAGGCTTTGTGCTCTGGAGAGGACACTCCAGGTTCGCATACAGTGTCGAAATAACATAGGAAGTAGCAGTTACCGGTTATAAGTCTTTGCTCGACTGGTGTAGAGCATGACACCAGGGGCTACTTCCAATGGTGGAAGAGGTCACTGTACTTCACTAGGTAGCTACTAGTCATCTTAAGCTGGGCAGCCCCCAGCCAGTAAGGTGCTGCCTCACCACAGTCTGTTAACCTCATGGGGTGCATGGGGTTTATTTAGGATGAAAGCTGACAAGCAGGTCAATAACCCTGCACCAGGGAATATGGTGTTGGCTTTGCGATCAGAAATACTCTGCTGAGATCCATTTTTCCACCTACTGTGGGGAG